TTACATTCCAGGTAATGGGAATTCAATGCGCATGAGGTCATATTATGTTTATGGGTGCACAAGTAGGTATTTCACCTCTCTGTAAGCATCTAAGCTCAAGGTAGGTAGTGTTCCCGTTTATCCTCTGTCTAGAAACTGTGTGAATATATTCGTGTTTGTGCATGAGCAAAAATTCCTGGCAAAGTGCCAGAGTGAATGGCAAACAGGCCTTGGAAATTAAAGATGGTTTATAACCCCAGAGAGATGTGGAGATTTATCTCTCCTGGAGCTATTATTTGTTTACTTTCAGAGAGTTGTAATCACCCAGGGACTTTCCCCTGATCTTCCCATAGAGGATTTGTTTACATTAGAGAGCAAAGGTCTATCTCTGTCTTTGCAGAGGGGCGGGTGGCAGCTGTGAAACAGTTCCTATGTAAACTCTGAGGTTCATAATTTCCGGGGTCCCCTCTTAGAGGACAGATTCCCTCTATACATGCAAGGTGAACATCTGCCCTTGTCATATCACCACCAGGGGGTACATGGAGCATGAGGAACCAGTAATGTTATTGCTGTAAGTAAATAATTGGTCTGGTCTCTGATGCAGAAACCTTGTGTTTGCTATCAAGATAAAATAAGCATAGGTAGATATGAAAACATCATGCCCCAAGTGGGCAGGGAGTGAGGGACTGGTTTGTGCTTTCGTCATCCTTACAGGAAAGCTGTAGCACTTTGAGGTTCCAGCTTTGTACAGGGGCTCCCCTGTTAAACTCCCCACTTTAGGCTTTTTCTCTTTTTCCCCCTTATCCTTCTGGGCTGTGAGAGGGAAGCTCAAGATGACCATAGTTAGGTATGTGCCCTCGGGGTAAAAACCACATTCAAGCAATGTTCACGTTTTAAGTTCTTGCTGTCACTTTGGTTTTTGTTAATTAGTCTGGGTATTTTTTACTAGCAACTTTATTGCTGTATAATTGAAGTACTATAAACTGGGCTTATTTGATCAGTTTTGGCAATATACTCTCATGAAACCATCCCTATGATCAAGTTAGTGAATATTTCCATCACTCCAAAAGTTTCCCCTGCCCCACTGTAACACATTTCTCTATCTACCCCCATCCTCAGGCGACACTGACCTACTTCCTACCACTGTATACTTGTTTGCAGTTTCCAGAATTTTATATAAATGAAATCATACAGTATATACTATGTTTTGCCTGGTTTCTTTTGCTCAGCACAATGGTTAATCCACACTGTTGCATAATAGCTTGTTTCTCTTTATTCACTTTGATTTTGGACTCTTAAGTTTCATTTCTAGCTTCCGTTTGCACTTAATTTTTTAAAATATATTTTATCCAGATTTTTAAATTACTTTTTGGTGGGAGAGTCAGTCACAGCATCTAGTTTTCCATACTTCCAGAAACAGAAATTTTATCTTAATGTTCTCCTTAAAGAAATGTCTTCTGAGACCTCTTGATAGCCATTGTTAGGGAAGTGAATGAGTCAGGAGTAATAGATCCAGTCCAGAATCCCTACCTCCTTTATTTCTTTTGTTACATTACACCAAGACATTTCTGGTGTCTCGGCTTCATTAGGTAGCAAAAGGAATAGGGCTTTATTTAGATGTCTACAGGGGAGTGTGGGGTAGGGTTTGATTTCCCCACAAATCTCCATCAGCCCTTGATTCTTTAATGTGGATTATTAGTATTTTTCAATCTTATGTAAAGTGCAGGATCCAGGACACTAAGAAGCTGAGGAAGTTATGGGGGCTCTTGGGAATGGCAGAAGGCAATGGCTGGCTCCAAGGCAGTAAGCAGATAGCTGTAAACAGGGCCATTCCTAGAGAGTAGAAGCCTGGGAATTTATCTATGCATTACACCTGCCCCACCTACCAACTTGTTTAAGCAGATAAAATAAGGTTAAACTGAAACATTATGGTAGCTCAGAGGTAGGAAAAGAAGTCTAAAAGCATCCTATCTCAAACCGTCTTCTGCAATTTATGTTGTCTACGTAGCCTAGCCCAGGTCTTAGTATACAATAAGTGCTTAAGAAAAATGTATTACATTAGGCAACCTATTTGGAAATAAATACTTTAAGCACTGGAGAGATCCTACCTCCTCAGGTTAAGGTATAGACTTATTGACACATGCTTGCTAAATGTTTTCCAAATTCAATCCAAATTCCAAATATTTTCATTGTTCAGCATGAGCTAAAGAGAGAGAGAGAGATTGTCAATATGAGTATTGTGGAAAGAATGGACATGGTGTTGAAAACCTTGGGTTCAAGTCCAAGCTGTTACTTATTAGCTATGTGGACAAGACACTTTGGAAGGAGGGAAGAAGTGTTTCAGTTTCCTCATCTTTTAGTAGAAAATTACAAAATAAAAAAATCTGCCCTGATTACCTGGCCAATTGTTACCATCAACAAATGAGAGCATAGAGGTGAAATCACTTTGAACAGTGTAGAGTGGTTAACCTATATAAGGAATAATAATTTTTGCTGTTAATTATAATACTAATAATTCCTTCTGCTCTCCCATTTGAATGTGTGCTTTAGCACAGGAAAACCAACAAGGAAAATGTATTCATTGCTTTTATGAGAATCTACAGGGCACATTTATCAGGTATGTCTGAGGCATGGCCTTGCTTCCTTCTCTTCAAACTCATGAGAGGTTGGAAAAAACCTCAAATTATGTATTCATGTTTGGCTGGCTGCTCTCCGGACAGCCCTCGTATTATATACATTATAACTTATGTAACTTCTGCCACTTATATCCAAAGACCATCACTATCCCCTTCTTCCTTGCACATATCCCTAATACCCGTGCCCCATTCCTTGGAAGGTATTCTCCCTCATCTCCTTAGCTCTGAAAGAACCTTGCCATCTGCCACACCCGTCCTGCTGGCATTGAGCTGGGCCGCTCCAGGACAGCTGTCCCAGTGCCTGTGGCTGACATGTGCTGTGAACGATTTCCAAAGGCAGATTTACTGTGAAGCTGGTGAGGCCTGAGCTTCAGCGCCCCTCACTTGCAACACACCCTTCAAAGACCCTCGCTGTGCGTTTACAAGGCCACATCGCTTTTTCAAAACAAAACACACACTGCTTTGTTTTGCAAAAACAAAAGATTTGATGAGACATTTTAAATTTTCTTTTTGTAGAGAAGGCCCTCAAAAGGGTGTATGCTTCAGGCCCCACAAAGCCAGCTCCACCCCTGCCCAGGTGTTGATTATTTTGGACATTAGCCTGACCACCACCCGAGCAAGTGGACGTGGCTGTGTCATATTAACAGCTGCAGCACACCTATCATGCCTGGGTTGAGCTTGTCCCTGCTCATGTCCCCACACACACCTGCTTTTCTGCCTGTTCCTCTTTACTCTCTACCCTCCAGCCACACTGGTCTCCCTCTGACCATTGTCACCTAAGCAGCTGCCCTCCCACCCGACCCATGGAACCCTTGCCAGCCCTTGGTCGCTTCTTTCGTAACACTGCGAAATGCCACTTTCATTTTTCCATTGACTTGCTCTCTGTCTGTAGCCTCAGCACAGCTGTCTTCTCCCCCAGCACAGGGATGGGGTCTGATGTTCTCTGTGTCTCCCCAGCACCTACCACATAAATATTTTGAAGTAATTACAAATGGCACAGACTGGAGTTGTTAGCGAGGGTCCACCACTGAAGGAGAAATCCGTGGTGGCTGTTTATGCCTCCCTAAGACTTCCCTAAATTCCTTCTGGGGCTAAGAAGGGGGCTGGTCTCCAAGGCACAAGGCAGGTTGGTTTTCCAGATTCCTACAGAACCCTAAATGTTTCCAAAGCCCCTGCAAGTAGGCCGGCCGTGGTGGCTCACGCCTGTAATTGCTCTGGGAGGCCGAGGCCAGTGGATAGCTCAAGGTCAGGAGTTTGAGGCCAGCCTGAGCAAGAGCGAGACCCCATCTCTACTAAAAATAGAAATAAATTATCTGGACAACCAAAGCCCCTGCAAGAAAGCACCACCATTTCATGGCGCCCTTGGAAAGCCACAGTGCTCCATGCACTCCTTGGCTGTTGGCAGGAGGGAGGCCTCCCACTCAGGCCCCTGGGTGCCTCCTCCTTTGTCTGCAAGTTCTCTCTGCTCCCTCCATTTGTTCAGTTTCCTGGGGCCCTGACAATTGTCCTCTATATGAGGGAGGGGATAGCTCAGAGAAAAAGACACACCCTGCATGACCACTGCAGGCAGGGTGCACTACTTCATTAAGTTGGAGATTACTGAACACAGCGTGCAAAATTATACAAATGTTCATGCATATGCATGTGCATGTTAATTATCTGAAATTCGTGTTCTGAATCCCTGGGGCTGGAAATACGCTAAGCTTAATCAAGGGTTCCCTATGCTGACAGCTCGCTGGGAGGTGAGGGATTCCAGGTGTGTGTTTGTGAAAAAACTGTTCTGTAAAAGCAGCTGCTTTTCACTCTCACCAGCAATCCTGACAATAAACATCTCTCAAATCCCTTTTATGAATGGAGCTGTGTCAGGCACTGTGTTACCTGCCTTTACCTGCCCATTCTAATTTCCATTTGCACAATGTACATTTTTCAAAACACTTTCATACACATTAGTTCATTCAATTCTCAGAATAACTATGAGGTGAGGCAGAAGGGGTATTAGGTGTCTTTTACAGGTAAGGAAACTGAGGACATTCAGAACCAACAAGCCATACAAGGTAAGTAGCATATGACCTATGCCAAAGCCAATGTCTGCAATGTGTGCTCCAGATTGAACCCTGCAAACTAAAGATGTGCTGGGGGAAGGCAGCACAGTGTGGAGGGAAAGGCCGGGCCTAGGCTTCCAAACATCTGTATCTGGTCCCAGCTATTCCCCAGACTGGCTTGAGATGCTTCCCCACCCTGTTAGATGTCTGTTTCCCTCTGTATTAAATGAAGCCGCAAGACTAATCAGTGGTTCTCCACCTGGTCTACACATTAGGACCACCAGGGAGCTTTTAAAAATCCCCATACTCAAACCACACCCCTGACCAATTAACTCCAGTCTCTGGAGCTGAGAGACTTGGATTCACCCATGTTTTATTAATGCTTGCTGGCTCTTGCAAAATGCAACCAAAGTTGAGAGCCCAAGCTAAATGATCCTTTGGATATTGCAACACACTGTACGCGTCCCTCTGAAGACAACTTGCAGCCTCTGACCAAAACAGAAGTTCACTATTAGAGCTGCCCCCAAAGAAACCTATTTAATATTGTTTAACTAAGCCTCTCCCAGTCATTTGTGAGCACAAAAGCCTTTCTCATGTGATAATTACTAATAACCTAGTAATACCCAGAATATAATACTGAAAAACCTCCATTTGGGGGTGGGGAACCTGCGGCCTTGGGGCCACATGTGGCCTTCTGGATCCTTGACTGCGGCCAAGGACTTGACTTACTCCAAATTTTATAATACAAATCCTATAGAACAAGGACTTTTGACTTACTCCAAATTTTATAGAACAAATCCTATAGAACAAGGACTTTTGACTTACTCCAAATTTTATAGAACAAATCCTTTTATTAAAAGAGGGCACAGCAGAGAAAGACGAAGCTTTTATTGCCTCCTTTGGTACTTAAAAAAAGAACAATCTTGAAATCAGAAGGCCACAGGTTCCCCACCCAATGGTCCCTAGATGGGGTGATGACCACTTCTACTTAACTCTCCTGTTTTGTGTTCACCTCTATAATTAACATTCTCTTCATCATATTCTATGTCTAGAGGTAAGAAGAGAGAACATTTCACATACATATGTTTAATATATTTCAGATGTTCTAAACAGCCAAACATTAAAACAAGCCCATAAAAGTATAAACAAAATGTATTAGAATACATCAAGTCACAAAATGCAGAAATAAGAAAGGAAAGAAAAATAATTTTGAATACATCAAACTTTTAAATAGCAGAAGACCCCATAGACTAAAACTAAAAGAAATTATAGACTGGGAGGAAATATCTACAGCATACATAACAAATCACAAACATATGGAATATGTAAAGAAGTACTATAAATCAACAAGACAAAGACAAAGAGCCCAGACTACAAATAAATGAAGGTGTGAGGAGACAGTTCACAGGAGAAAGACAAATAGCCAATACTAAAAGATATGAAAAGATGCACAGCCTCAGCCTCAGGGAAAAGCAAACTAAATAAGACTTCTTTTTTCACACAGGAGATTGGCACAGAACATAAGAAGATTGTTAACAGCAGGTTGTCCTGAGGAGTAGCAAAAGGTATACACCTCACGCACTGTTGGTAAGGGTATAAATCGAGAAAGCCTTTTTGGAAGTCAATTTGGAGTATCTAATAAAGCTTTTAAGTTCATAAGGCCTCCCACGCAGAAATTCCACTTCATGGTCTGTACCCCACAGAATGACTCTCAAGTTCACAAGGAGGCAGGTATAGGTATGGCCAATGCCCTGCTGTTTATAATGGGAAAAAACTGGACAATGTCTAAATAGTCATCACATACCTATTTGTAAGCAAAAAAAGAAACATCTGGACCCTCATGGGGGCTGATATATGGTGGCCAAAGTGACTACTTTATCTGTAGTATTTGATTTTTTTTTTTTTTTGGACAAAAGTATCTTAATGACAGTGCTCAACTCATAAAGTTGTTGTAAGTATTAGATGAGCGAATATGTAAAGCACTCAGTGCCTGTCCTATAATAAGTACTGAAATGAATGTCATTGGTTGTATTTTTGTCATCTTTACCAAAAGAGAGTGATGTTACAATAACTGCCTCTTACCAGGAATGTCATCTTCCCTCTCCTCTGCCACCTCCTCTGTGGAAGGCCTGATGTCAACTACCCTGGCTATTAGATAGTCCTATTTTTAGTCCCTCTCTCCCCCATTCGACTATGCAGTGACCCCAGAGTTTCGCTTTTCTGTGTCAGAACCCATGTGCTTTCTCAAGCCTCTGAGGTGGAGACTGCCACAGGCTTCATGGGAGATACGTAAACACTGGTCACTGTGTTTAGTAATGGTGACTGCCAACTACCGAGTCACCTCTCAAAGAAACCATTCAGACTTCTTCTTTTCTACCTGCCCCCCCCCAAAAAAAGAGGTTTTACCCAGATATTTGGTCCTCTTTTCCTGCATTTCTTCTCTTCCAGCGCTCAAATTTCCATTTCTATTTGGCGGTACATGGCCTTAGAGACACCTTGCAGACTCCACGATTCTGGTACGTGGTGGTGACTTGCAAAGCTCTTGTTCTCCAGCTGCTTCTCCCTGGACGTCCACTGCAGTAGCTACCCTGTGGACACTGAATGGCCAGGGAACAAACTCCCTGTTTCTCCTCACCAGGGCAAATCTCACCAGGTCTGATCCAATCCCACTTCTAAGAAGCCTTTCAGGTGATTTCCCCTACTCTGAACTCCTGTGTCACCTCACGTCTATATCAGGTAAACACCCCCACCATCTCTGCAGTCTGTGAAGAACTGCGGGGACTGTGAGAGGTGCTGGCAGATGAAGCTGTACCCCTACATTCAATAAACATCTCTACCTTCTAGGTGCAGTGCTAGGCATGGGCAGTGCAGAGACGATCAATAAATAATGTTTCCTTCCTTCATAGGCTTTTATAGTCTAGGAAGAAATACGCCAATTTAGCCACATTTTCTCCCTGGTTCAATTGGATGGTTGGAAGAATTATCATTTGGTTCTTTTGGAGTTGGTCTCACCTAATTCCTGAACTAATCAGTATGACTTGGGACCTTTGATGAAATGACAGGTACATGTTACCTTAATCAGGGCAGTTTTTAGATTAATTCCTAGAAGCAATTAGTTCTGTGGGATAATTCCTCACTGGTATATTCCCTGCTTTCTTTTCTTACCACAATAAAAAACATCAGACACAAGTCACCATAACAAAATCTTACTGAAATATACATTTAATAGAAAATGCTTTATAACATACTTATTTCACATTCGATAGGCAAACCACTTCTAAACACTGAGCATCCCTGAATGGTCTTAGTTTCTAAAACTCATTCACTCTGCTCACCACAGCTGCTACCCTAACACTCCTAACAGTTAGACCCACTTCCAAAAGCTCGGGTTTCCAATTTTCTTAGCTGTTCTAACTCTACTATATGTGTTGATTGAGAGTCTCTCCAAACCTTGTTGTGGAAGCAACATAAGATTTTATGTTGTTCTTACCCATAAGATAGATGCTCCAAGTATTCAGGCTGAGCAGAAAATGCTCCTTAAGTCTAGAAACACTATTTCTCTGTAACACCTAGATGTTAGCAACCACTCTTCAGATTTTCTCCCTTTGGTTCAGAACTTCAAATTCTGTGTACATTCATTTAAAAAGGTCACTTCACTGGCTGAAACTCTTCCATTTCTGTTCCATCTTAGATTTGTTGACTCTCTTTTTTCCTTAATTTGTTTCCCTAAGAGTCATTTCAGGTTACACTTGGACCATTTCCCCAATCAATTTCAAAAGCTTTCTATGTGTAGAACGTAGCATCTCTGTATGAACGCTCCTTTCCATATAAGTCTCTTGCTCATCTTTTGCATCTGTCCCTAGCTCTAAGTTATCCCTCCTGCATCAGATCTCCTGTAGGACGTTCTGATTCTGTCATAGTACTTAGCTTTTTCTGTCTCAGTTTAAAATTATTGAACTCCATAGCTGACATCCCTAGTGTGTTATAAATTCCCCAGGACGGGATCTATGACTGACTCTTATTTCTATTTGTTACAGCACCTAGTATGATGCTTGGCTTATAATAGGCACTCGAAAATTTCTGCTAGATGAATTAATGATGAAAGGGTGGATGGATGGATGGATGGATGGATGGATGGATGGATGGATGGATGGGAAGCACAAGGTGAAATGGAAAAACTTTGGACTTAAATTCAAAAGAATGGAGTTCAGATTCAGTTCTGCTATTTCCCCTCCCTGTGACCCACCTCTTTGGGTCTCAGTTTCTCCAAAAGAAAAATGAGGATATTAAGACCTGCCTTACCTAAGGTTGTTCTAAAAATCAAATGAGGTAATTTATGTGAAAGTGCTTTGTGAACTCTAAAGGACTTTTAAAAATACAGGAACTCAAATGGCGATTTATAGGATTCCCATGTGAATTCTGTGTAAGGTATTTAAAGACATACAGATTATTTCTTCCTCTGGTACAAGCGCAAAAACACTACTGGAAAGGTGGATGAATAGAGGTTGATTAATGGGTATAAATATATAGTTTGATAGAAGAAATAAGACACAGTGTCTGATAGATTAGTCCGGTGACTATAGTTTACAATAATCTAGTATATATTTCAAAATAGCTAAAAGAATAATTTGAATGTTTCTAGCATAAAGAAAAGACAAATATTTAAGGTCATGGATATCCATTTATACTGATTTGATTTTTACAAATTATATGAATGTATTAAATTGTCACATGTACCCTGAAAAAATATATATCTACTATGTATCAATAAAAATAAAGTTTTAAAAAACGAACACTGAAATCCTCAGCATTGCATAAATACCCACAGTCTTTAGGCCAAAGACTGGAAAGTATAAAGACAATTAAGTACATTACCATCACCAACCCTATTAAATTGTACTCCCAAAAGCAAGTGGGAGTGAATTTTGATAATTAGGTGAGTTTATAGCCCTCTTATACTGCAAGTATATTACAATATTTTACATTACAAATTTGTGTTGAAAAATATAAAAAGTCCTCCATGTGTTTTACAAACATTATACTGCTTTTCTCTTTTCTCCTCGGGAACAGTTTGGTGCTTTGCTTGCCTTAGAAAAACACGCACACCATATTTCCCAGGCTTTATCAGTCTAGAGGGAAAGTAGGGACATGTAACCAAGCAGTACTCTGGCTCTACCTGTGATTTCCAAGCTCAGGGGACTTTTATGGGACTTCAGCAGATACCCAGGTCTCTGGGCCACTTGCTTTTCTACCACTGCTGCTTAGGCACTGTTCTTCTCATGGGGTACACAGCTGAAGTCCACATTGATGCATCACTTGTACACCTACTGGTGACTTCCAAAATCACTAGGGTTTATATCGCAGCTCCTGGGAGGAGACCAGGGAGGTCTGGCTGACTGACCAATCTTCTATGGTTCTATCCTTCTGAAATGTGACCACTTCAAGTCAGTGAAAGAAATACTCCTTAAATACAAATCTACTCTATTCTTGTTTTTATTCCCCTTTCCAAGTCTTGGGCAAAAGTTCCTGGAGCAAAGGGCGAGACCAATACAAGTGTAAGACACCTCCTGTTGTCATTCTTCTCAAATAATGATTCTTTGTCCATATGCAAGCCTGCCCCTTTCAACAGCATCTGCTCTCAAATTAAGTTCCTTCCCATGAAGATCCCTGGACCAGTAAACAAGACTCCACACAGACCTATCCCTCTGACTATCCAAATAAGCATCAACATATTTGTATACCTAGCTCCCATCATAGAATCCTGGAATTTATCATGTACACCTACCAGCAACTTGCAGTTTCACCTGTGCTACATCCTGGCCTTCATTCAGAGCAGATAGCATAAGATCTCAGATATGGTGCCTTTTTAAGAGTCTGCCCTTTTCTTCCTCTTGTGGGTGGAGACATTATAGCACAGTGTTCAAGAAGATGGACTTAAGAGCCAGGATGCCTGCATTCAAATTGCAACTCAACCTTGAATAAGTTTCTTTAACCTCTCTAGTACCAGTTTCCTTATCTGTAAAATGGTGCTATAGTGGTATATATCTCATAGTGTTGTTATGAGGATGATAAAAATTATTTGTAAGCTATACCATAAACCAAGCCTCAACTAAAAAGTATTGAAATTATCCAAAGCATGTCCTCTGGAATTTAAGTTAAAAATTAATAATAAGACATTGCTTGCTTGAAAATTCAGTAACCCATGGCTCAGATAGGGTGCTCAAGTTTTCCCCACCTGGTTTTTTTTTATGTGCACTTGTATCCCTCAATTATCAGTGAAAATTGCTGGGGGTTCAGGGGTGTGAGGAAGCAGCCCAAGCAGGGAACCTAATCAAGTGCAATCTAAGTGAGAACATTCCCTTAACCATCACATGCAGAAAACTGAGTGATACAGGATGCTGAGAATCATGGCCTCAGGCTTCTTTCATCATGTAGGAGCATATGTTCACACCAAACATGAGAACCACCCCTTCTTAATACACACATTTGCACAGTCTCACAACTATGTGAATTCCTATAATAGTTTTCCAGGGACACAAGCACATTTTACAGATTCCTGGAAAAA